CCCCAAAACCCCAAAACCCCAAAACCCCAAAACCCCGCAAGAATATTTTCAGGTTGATATAATTTAATTGAAATAACTCAGTTATGGGAACTAAATACTTACTGTCAATCCTCCTTCTGTGAGCGGTTTGTCATGTTGCTCAAGCCAGCAGTGGATTTGTGACTGTCAATGGAAGGAATTTCTACCTTGACGGCAAAAAGTACTTCTATATCGGTACAAACTATTGGCACGGAATGAACCTTGGAGCTCCATCTTCAGGAAATCAAACTAGACTCACTGAAGAGCTTGACCAATTACAGGAATATGGGATTAAAAATCTCAGAATCATGGGGAGTACCCAAGGACCAGACAATAAAAGTAAGAGAATAGTCCCATCTCTCGAATATGAACAAGGAAAATACAATGAAGATATCTTCGAAGGTCTAGATACTTTCCTCTACGAGATGGGAATAAGAGACATGAAAGCTGTTGTTACTCTCAATAATTTTTGGGAATGGTCTGGTGGGTTCCCACAATATTTTGAATGGTACAAAGGACACTACAATTTATATCCAACTGGATTTTACAAGGATTCTACATTGACGAGCAAGCTAGATGATTTCATCAGAGTAATTATCAACAGAGAAAATACAGCTTATAAGAAGTATGAAGGCAAAACAGTGCTGTATAAAGATGATCCTACGATCATGGCTTGGCAGTTAGCAAACGAACCTAGAGCAGGAGATTGTACTGATTGGGTAAAATGGATCAACCATACTAGCACACTGATTAAAGAACTTGCTCCAAAGCAACTAGTATCTATTGGAAATGAAGGCACAATCACTGGCTGCAGTGAGAGAGGAAATCATGTTGAAAACATAGACTACATCACTTTTCATGCTTGGGCTCAGAACTGGGGATGGTACTCACCTCATTCTAGAAATGGCCTCAATAACGGAATCTCAAGAGCTCAGGGATACATTACTTCTAATGTGAATTTGAATAAAAATAGGAACAAACCTATGGTTCTTGAAGAGTTTGGATTAGCCAGAAATGGAAATTCTTATGATCCGGCATCTGAATGCGATATCAGAAATGATTATTATGACGGAGTGTTTTCCAAGGTATACGATTTCGCCACAGATGAATCTCTCATGAGCGGAGCTAACTTCTGGGCATACGGAGGTACAGGGAGACCCAGAAGCAATGGTGGATGGTGGAAAGAAGGTGATGATCTCATTGGAGACCCCCCACATGAAAGACAAGGATGGTATACAGTTTATAACACAGATCAATCAACTCTTGATCTCTTAAAGAAATGGACTACTAAATTTGATGAGTTATGCCAATAATGAAAACTTTATCCTACTAGTTTGACTTGAATTATATTTTGTTCAAAATGTATGTTACTTTTTAGCCAGAAGAAAGAATTCAACTTACTTTATAATAACTGGGGTTTTGGGGTTTTGGGGTTTTGGGGTTTTGGGGTTTTGGGG